TGCTGGCCATGCTCTCTGGGGCCTACCCCCACCCCAGGTGGCAGGGGTGGCCCAACTGGATGGGCACTCAATCTTGAGCAGCACTATTGCCTGTGCCATGGCTTGAGGTTGATGATGATGAAGAAGGAGGCAACACACAGGGGCGTTGCTGTTGTCTGGTGCCCCTCCAAGGGGAGCAGGTGGAATCAGAACATTGGGGTGAAGTGTTTGGTTGGTTGGATGTCATGGTGGCAGGGAACTTCCAACCTCCACCTGTCATCTGGATCACATTGATGAAATGTGTTTGGCATTCTCCATTGAGGGCTGAGCCCTCAAGCACCTGGAACACATGGAAGGTGTCATCACTGGTGGCCTTGCAAAGCCAGAGCTCATCTCTCTGGTTGACCAGGCGGCATAGGGTGAAGAGAGTGACCAATGTGATGTCCTCAATCATTTCAACTGTCTCAAGGGAGCCCTCTGCTCCAAGGAGGCAGAGGTGTAGGACAGTGAGTACTATCTTGTAGATTTCACATATCCCTGTAACATGGGTGCAATTGTCCTTGGAGAAGCCACAGCTGTTGTTGCTTGGGAAGGAGCAGTGTTTGCTGATGGCTGTACCCAAGACTGACTTGCAGATTGAGTTGTAGATGGCCTGAAGATCCTTGTGGTGTGGGTCAAGGGAATCCAGTGCTGAGGCCCCAGTCGTGGGGGGCACTGGGGGTTGCGCGTGGGCTTGAGCAGGGGCCGGTGTTTGACGAAGCGGTAGAGCCTGTGAGGCAGAAGGTTGAGATGAGCCAAGGTTCAGAGCCAGCTCGCACTCATCTTCCTCAGACTTGAGTGACAACTGCCAAAACTGAAGTTGAGCCATAGACTTGACTAGACTCATTACGGTAGCTCGTAAAGAATTCAATTTGTCTGACCTGGAGTCGATCTCCATAGCCGACGGTGCAGGCGAGGTACAACTACGCTACGCGATACGAACCGACGAGAAAGAAGAGAAGAGCCCCGTTCCGGGACTTGTTTTACTATTTAATTATTTTATTGTTGTAGACATAACAAATAAAATAAATAGTAAAACAAGCGGAAGTGTCCTCCGACTTGAAGGTAACTCATTTACCGTAGGTAAGCCATTCATGGCCACGGCGACCATATAGATGACGACAACAGGTGGTGACCAACAACGGAGAGGAGTGCCTGAAGACACTGAGGCAGGAGGAGGGCGGAGAGAAGGCGGGCGGGCCGTTCGATGTTATCCTGATGGACTGCCAGATGCCCGGTTCGTGCGGCTCTCTCCGCCTCCTGTGTTGCTCGAACATTCCACACGTTCCTCACGCACACGACCGTGATCTTCGCAGTGATGGATGGATTCGAGGCTACCCAACGCATCCGCGCCATGGAAGCTGACGCCCAGCCGCTGGGCTCGCCGCGTGGCACGCGGCCTATCGTGGCTCTCACCGCCTCCGCGACCAAGGTGCGTTTGTCAACCGACCGCCACCGTAGACTTTAACTGACTTCACAGCTCGTCTACGCACGCGCAGGAGTATGCACGCCGGTGCCTCGAAGCGGGAATGTCGGACGTGTTGTTCAAGCCGGTCCGTCGCGAGGCCCTGGCGGCGGCCCTTCGCAAATGGGGCACGACCGTCGCGGTGTCGGCGCCTCGCCCGCAACCCTGAAGCTGCGGGATGTCTCGGCGAGGCAATGCCGCAGTCGCTGTGCGAGCAGCGAGAAATAGTGGATTACTCGGACGAGTTAGAGCGCGCTCGTGCGGACTGTCCTGGTCGTAGTTGGAGGCGACCAAGGGTGACACCACCTAGTCACCTGCCGACTTCACGCTTGTCATCATCGAGATGACGTGAGGCCCTTTGTTCTTCTCCGCCACCGCACAAGGCACGATGTCGGCGCAACAGAAACGGAACTTGTCCACCTTGGTCCACACGTGCTGCAAATCGCCGCCAAAATTTCCGCACGAAAGAGCACCGGTTGAGCTGCGAGCAAATTACAGTGAAGGAGAAGGCGAGAAGAAGCTTCGATCTCAACGCACTACTTTCCAACTGCCGCCGAGCTGAGTAGACCAGAAGAAACGACGGACTCAAGATGGCGGCAGCACAAGGAGGCTTCATCTCGTCGTACATCGATCTCTCCCCGAGCTCCTCGCGAGAGTTTCATTCGGCAGCATCTGCTGATGGAGATGCGGATTCGCT